AATCAATGCAAGTTTCCCCCTTCCTTTCGGGAACGAAGAGAATTTGCTTTTTTATTTTGTATTTTTGCGTGTATTTGTTTTCCCGCCCCAGAATAAATTCGATAATCAATCGATGACACTTACGTTGGTAATGGCCGTGATGTTGGTCTTCAGGACATGCACCGCCTCTGCAGGCAACTGACGGATTGCTTCATTAGACGGTGCAAACAGGGTTTTTTCTTGAGAACTCTGAAGCAGTTCCTTGAATTCTGGAGCGTACTTCACCAGGTCCAGGAATTCCCTGCAAGGCAGAAAAGACGTGCGACTTAATGACTGGAATTAAGTATCCAGAAGATTATATAAGGAACTTATCTAATTTTAACATGGGCCTTAGTACATTCTTGAAGATTTTGAAGATTGAAAAACTTTTTTCGCTGGAGCTTGCAAAATGTCTTAATGAGGCACTATATCCAAATCAATTTCGTTAAGTTAAAGTTTTAAGTTAAAAGTGATGGGAATTATTTAAAGACAAAATTAATAATCTGAATATTAACTTTCCTTTTAAAATAAAATAAATTTACAAGAACGTTGGAAATTCCTTTCAGAAATTGAAATTTTCATAAGAAAGTTATTAATGAATGGCAATTTTAAAAATGATATTTTATGTAAAATATGATAACTATTCTATTTTTGATGAACTCAAGGGTTCTAGTTAACATGCATGAAATATGAATTTTTGTAAAAGAACAAACAGTACAATAGAAAAACTTAAAAGGATAATATATAATAATTAGTATATAGTTTTAGCTTAAAAGGATAATATATAATATATATAAACATTCTTTAAGATTTTCAAGGGCTCCACTGAAAAACATTTTTCACTTGAGCTTGCAAAATGTCTTATTGATTAACTATATCTAAATCAGTTTCGTCAGATCTTAAATTAAAAATGGTGGGAATTCTTTAAAGACAAAATTAATAATCTGAATATTAAGTTTCCTTTCAAAATAATTCTTATTAAATTTACAAAAACATTGGAAATGTTTTTTTAGATATTTAAATTTTCATAAGAAAGTTGTTGATGAATGAGAATTTTAAAAATGATATTTTAATGATGAACATAAGGATTCTTGTTAACGTACATGAACTATCAATTTTTGTAAAAGAACCAAAAATACAATAGAAAGCTTAAAAGGATAATATATAATACTCGTATTTATAAACATTATGGAAGATTTTGTAGAGCTCGATTGAAAAACTTTTTTCGCTTGAGCTTGCAAAATGTCTTACTGAGGAACTACATCTAATTCGAATTTTGAAGAACGGATGCGTTAAAAATGGCGGGAATTCTTTAAAGACAAAATGAAAAACTGAATATTAATTCTCCTCTTAAAATAACTATAATTAAATTTACACGACGTAATTAATTTTAAATTTATGCTGGGAATTATTATTATTTTAAAATTTAAAATTTAATTTGAAAGTTATTGATAAACGAGAATTTTAAAATGACATTTTCTGTAACATATAATAACTATTTTACAACTATTTATGATGAACTCAAGGATTCTAGTTAATATATATGAAATATGGAAAAAAATAAAAGGACAAAAAATATTAAAATTTAAAAATATAAAAATTAAATAATACAATAATTTAAAATTAATACAGATTACGCTTGGAATAATCGCAAGGCAGAAAGATGTGCAACTTAATGACTGGAAGTAAGTATCCAGTTGATGGTAAAAGATTATATAAGGAACTTATCTAATTTTAATACGGGCCTTACATTTTAGAAGATTTTGAAGAGCCTGATTGAAATTTTTTTTTTGCTGGAGTTTGCAAAATGTCTTAATGAGGAACTATATCTAAATCAATTTCATCAGATCTTAAGTTAAAAATGGTGGGAATGCTTTAAAGACAAAATTAATAATCTGAATATTAAGTTTTCTTTTAAAATAATTCTTATTAAATTTACCAGAACGTTGGAAATTTTTTTTAGATATTTAAATTTTCATAAGAAAATTATTGATGAATGACAATTTTAAAAGTGATATTTTATGTAAATTTTAATAAATATTCTATAACTATTTATGATGAACATGAGGATTCTTGTTAACATACATGAAATATGACTTTTTGTAAATGGATAAAAAATACAACAGAAAGCTAAAGGGATAATACACTGAAGTGACAAAAGTCATGGGATAGCAATATGCAAATTTTCAGATGGCAGTAGCATCGCGTAGAACAGGTATAAATGCGCAGTGCTTTCGCAGAGCTTTCATTTCTGTTCAAGTTATTCATGTGAAGAGGTTTTGACGTGATGATGACCGCACGACGGGAATTAACAGACTTTGAACGCGGAATGTTAGTTGGGGCTAGACGCATGGGTCATGCCATTTCGGAAATCGTTAGGGAATTCAACATTCTCAGATCCACTGTGTCAAGAGTGAGCCGAGAGTATGAAATTTCAGGCATAACATCCCACCATGGACAGCGCAGTGGTCGACCGCCTGCACTTAACGACCGAGACCGGTGACGTCTGCAAAGAGTCGTAAATTCTAACAGACAAGCAACACTGCGTCAAATAACCGCAGAAATCAATGTGGGACGTAAAAGGGACTTGTCTGTTAGAACTGTGAGGAGAAATTTGGCTTTCTTGGGCTATTCCAGCAGAACACCGACTCGAGTGCCTTTACTGACAGAACGACATCGCTTGCAGCGACTCTCGTGGTCACGTGAGCATATCGGTTGGTCCCTAGATGAATGGAAAACCGTGGCCTGGTCCGATGAGTCACGATTTCAGTTGGTAAGAGCTGATGGTAGGGTTCGAGTGTGGCGCAGACCCCACGAAGCCATGGACCCAAACTGTCAGCAAGGCACTGTTCAAGCTGGTGGTGGCTCCGTAATGGTGTGGGCTGTTTTTTTATGGCATGGACTTGGTCCTCTGGTGCGACTGGACCGAACATTGACTGGAAATGCTTATGTTCAGCTACTTGGAGATCACTTGCAGCCATTCATGGACTTCATGTACCCAAACAACGATGGGATTTTTATGGATGACAATGCGCCATGTCACCGGGCCACAACTGTTCGCGATTGGTTTGAAGAACATTCTGGACAATTCCAACGAATGATCTGGCCACCTAGATCGCCCGACAGGAATCCCATCGAGCATTTATGGGACATCATCGAGAGGTCTGTTCGTGCCCAAAATCCTGCACAATCAACGCTTTCACAATTATGGACGTCTATCGAGACAGCATGGCTTAATATTCCTGCAGAAGACTTCCAACGACTTGTTGAGTCCATGCCACGGCGAGTTGTTGCACTTCGCCGAGCTAAAGGAGGGCCGTCACGATATTAAGAGGTATCCCATGACTTTTGTCACTTCAGTGTATATATAAACATTCTGAAAGATTTTGTAGAGCTCGATTGAAAAATCGTTTTGCTGGAGCTTGCAAAATGTCTTAATGAGGAACTATATCTAAATCAATTTCGTCAGATCTTAAGTTAAAAATGATGGGAATTGTTTAAAGACAAAATTAATAATCTGAATATTAAGTTTCCTTTCAAAATGACATTTATTATATTTATAAGAACGTTAGGAATTATTTTTTTAAGAAATTTTAAATTTTCATAAAGTTATTGGTGAATGACAATTTTGAAAATGATATTTTATGTAAAATATGATAACTATTCTATTTCGGATGAACTTAAGGAATTCTAGTTAACAAACATGAAATATGAACAAAAAGTAAAAGGACAAAAAATGATTAAAATTTAAAAATTAAATAATACAATAAATAATACAATCATACAATAGTTAAAAATTAGTACAATAATTAAAATTTAAAAACATTAATTTTGTTCTTAAGATTTCACTAAGAGTGATTTTATAAAAGACAAAAAGTACAATAGAAAGCTGAAAAGGATAAGGATGATTTCCTTAAAGCTTTAAGGACATTGTTTTCTTAAAAATTTTGTAAAATTAAATATTTTTTAATTAGTAATAAATACCTTTAAGAATTTTATAAATATTTTAAAAAGAAATATTCTTTTTGGAGTACGAAGTCATTAAAAAGTTACTTCTTTTACTGTTAGACGAATAACAAGATTTTCTGATTGAAAATATTTTTTAAAATTTCTAAATATCTACAAACAATTTTTCTTAATCTTAATAAGTTTAAACTATTTTAAGTAAAGATAACAAAAAATCAATTTAAATTTAAGGAGATTAATTTTGTTCTTAAGATTTCACTGGAAGTGATTTTATAACAATTTAATAAAAGTTTTGATGATACGAAAAATGAAAAACATGAAAAATGTTTTACATTGCTGAAAGATTTTAATTAAAAGAATAATTGGAATTATTAATAAATTTATCATTTTATTTTGAAAATAGTTTTTTACATTCATATAGCATCATGTTATTACCACAAAAAGAAAGAATTTCAAGATCACATAGTGATTGTATTTGAAATTGATAACTAAGTTAAAAAATACATTTTATTGAAGTTGAATAACAATTATAATAATTAAATGTTCTGAGATTCCGAATTGAATTTTTAATTGGTCTCACTATACAGTATTGATAAATTACTATACAATGTGAAAAATATCTTTATATACCTGCAAGATAAATTTTACTTCCATTGAAATACCATTGAATTACGATCTCTCTGTTTCTTTAAAATCTTTTCATAAACCCCATTCAAGTCTTTTGTTAAAAAAAATTAATGCACTTTAAAATACCACTTCTGATGCTTATTTACTAACGATGCTATTTGCTATGATTTTAAATAATCTAATCAGTTTCTCGTAAAGATTATTAGAAATTTAAATGACAAAAATTCTCAAAAAAAAAACAACATTACAATATAAAAGAGATCTTTGCCCGTTGTTATTGGATGGCCAGGAATCTCATATTCTGAACACACGTTTATTTCTCCTTTTAGACTTTTATGTATGTGAATTAATTGTATTAGCCATTAATGTATTTAGATTTTACATACCCAACGGCCGTACCATGCTGAATATACCGGTTCTCGTTAGATCACCGAAGTTAAGCATCATTGGGCGCGGTCAGTGGGTGACCACCTGGGAACACCGCGTGCCGTTGGCAAATTTGGGACCTGAATGGCCGAGTGTCTAGCGCTCTGGCGCTCGGTGCCACAGGTTTCGGGTTCGAATCCCGGCGGTGCCATGGATGTTTGTAGTGGTTCGGAATCCACTTTAAGCCGTAGGTCCCGGTCTCCTATGACTGTAAGAGCGTCACGGAGCAAAAGTCAGGCTTCTACCTACGGGTGCTCCATCACAACAGAAGCTGCTTCCTTCCCCTTCAATCATGAGTCCATATGGGCTTGTGGGCTTGGCCAGCCAAGTGGGATAAGAAACAACAACAAACAGATTTTACATCAGCTAGAAAATCTAAATTAGATTAATGGCTAATACAAATAATTCACGATGCAATTTAAAGAAGATGAGGATAATTTATTTTATAAAGTTTATGGTAAACCAACTAAAATTGTAGTTTTCAAAACAATTATATTATTTTCCTCCTCAGGTTTTAAAAATGCATTAGCATGATTTTAAAAGCATTATAAGAATTTATAAAATATTATACAATGTGAAAAATATTTTTATATACTTGAAAGATAAATGATTTTTATTTCCAATGAAATGCCATTGAATTAAGCTCTCTCTCTCTTCTTTTAAAATCTTTTCATGTGTCTCTTTCAAGTCTTTTGTTAAAGTAAAAATTAATGTACTTTAAGTACCACTATTGATGTTTATCTGTTAATGATTTTAAATAACCTCATCATTTTCTCGTAAAGATTATTAGAAATTTGTATCACAAGAATTCTTTAAAAATAAAAAAAAAAACCCCCCCAAAAAACATTACAACATAGAGGAGATATTTGCATGTTGTATAAGACGGTCAGGAATATCATCTCCTGAGCACGTGTTTACTTCTTCTTTTAGACTTTTATGCATCTTTAATTTTTTGGGTTTTACTTGTGAAATTTTTAAATGCTTTTAAATGTTTTTAATTTATTCAGATTTTAAATCAGCTGGAAAGTCTGAATTGATTAATGGCTAATACAGATCATTCACATAGTTACTTTTTATTTTATAAAGCATAAGGCAAATCAATTAGTTTTCAAAACAATTGTATTATTTTCCTTCTCCAGGTTTTAAAAATGCATTAGCGTGATTTTAAATGCATTATAAGAATTAATAAAATATTATACAATGTCAGAAACATTTTTATACTATACACTGAAGTGACAAAAGTCATGGGATACCTCTTAATATCGTGTCGGCCCTCCTTTCGCCCGGCGAAGTGCAGCAACTCGACGTGGCATGGACTCAACAAGTCGTGGGAAGTCTTCTGCAGGAATATTGAGCCATGCTGTCTCGATAGACGTCCATAATTGTGAAAGCGTTGATGGTGCAGGATTTTGGGCACGAACAGACCTTTCGATGATGTCCCATAAATGCTCGATGGGATTCATGTCGGGCGATCTAGGTGGCCAGATCATTCGTTGGAATTGTCCAGAATGTTCTTCAAACCAATCGCGAACACTTGTGGCCCGGTGACATGGCGCATTGTCATCCATAAAAATCCCATCGTTGTTTGGGTACATGAAGTCCATGAATGGCTGCAAGTGATCTCCAAGTAGCTGAACATAAGCATTTCCAGTCAATGTTCGGTCCAGTCTCACCACAGGACCAAGCCCATGCTATGAAAAAACAGCCCACACCATTACGGAGCCACCACCAGCTTGAACAGTGCCTTGCTGACAGTTTGGGTCCATGGCTTCGTGGGGTCTGCGCCACACTCGTCAGCTCTTACCAACTGAAATCGTGACTCATCGGACCAGGCCACGGTTTTCCATTCATCTAGGGACCAACCGATATGCTCACGTGCCCACGAGAGTCGCTGCAAGCGATGTCGTTCTGTCAGTAAAGGCACTCGAGTCGGTCTTCTGCTGGAATAGCCCAAGAAAGCCAAATTTCTCCGCACAGTTCTAACAGACAAGTCCCTTGTACGTCCCACATTTATTTCTGCGGTTATTTGACGCAGTGTTGCTTGTCTGTTAGAATTTACGACTCTTTGCAGACGTCGCCGGTCTCGGTCGTTAAGTGCAGGCGGTCGACCACTGCGCTGTCCATGGTGGGATGCTATGCCTGAAATTTCATACTCTCGGCACACTCTTGACACAGTGGATCTGGGAATGTTGAATTCCCTAACGATTTCCGAAATGGCATGACCCGTGCGTCTAGCTCCAACAAACATTCCGCGTTCAAAGTCTGTTAATTCCCGTCGTGCGGTCATCATGACGTCAAAACCTCTTCACATGAATAACTTGAACAGAAATGAAAGCACTGCGCATTTATACCTGTTCTACGCGATGCTACTGCCATCTGAAAATTTGCATATTGCTATCCCATGACTTTTGTCACTTCAGTGTATAGTATACTTGAAAGATAAATGATTTTTAGTTCCACTGAAATACCATTGAATTACTCTGTCTGGCTTCTTTTAAAATCTTTTCATATATCTCTAAGTCTTTTGTTAAAGTAGAAATTAATCACTGATACTTATTTGCTAATGATGCTATTTGTTATGGTTTTAAATAATCTCATAAGTTTCTCGTAAAGATTATTAGAAATTTGAATCACAAAAATTCTCCAAAAAATCACAAAAAAAACAACATTACAATACAGAAGTGATGTCTGCCTGTGGTATTGGATGGCTAGGGATCTCATGTCCTGAGCACATGCTTACTTCTTATTTTAGACTTTTATGCGTCTTTAATTTTTAGAGTTTTACTTGAGCAATTTTGAAATGCTTTTAATCTATTCAAATTTTACATCAGCTGGAAAATATGAATATATTAATGGCTAATACAGATAATTCATAATGCAATTTAAAGAAGAGGTTACTTTATTTTATAAAGTTAAGATAAATAAATTGAAATTAAAGTTTTCAAAACAATTTATTTCTCTCGTCAGATTTTAAAAAATGTATTAGCATGATTTTAAATACATTATAAGAATTAATGAAATATTATACAATGTAAAAAATACTTTTGTATACTTGAAAGATAAATGATTTTCACTGCCAAAGAAAATGTCATTGAATTAAGCTCTCTTTCTGCTTTTAAAATCGTTTCATACATCTCTTTCAAATCTTTTGTTAAAGTAAAAATTAATGTATTTTAAGTACCACTCCTGACGTTTATTTGCTAATATGATTTTGAATAATCTCATCAGTTCTTGTGAGGATTTTAAGAAATCTGAATTACAAAAATTCTCCAAAAAATCACAGAAAAAAATTCAATATAGAAGAGATGTTTGCTGTTGTATTGGATGGACTTTTACTTCTTTTAGACTTTAATGTGTCTTTGGGTTTTGGATTTTTGGGGTTTTATTTGTGAGGAGGGTGGTTTACTTGGGGTTTTTTTGGGGGAAGGGGGTTACTTGTGAAATTTTAAAATGTTTTTACATTTTTTAATCTATTCAGATCTACAGATTCTACTACAGATCTTCAGATTCTACATCATCTGAAAAATCTGAATAGATTAATGGTTAATACAGATCCTTTACGATGTAATTTAAATAAAACGGATTACTTTATTTTATAAGGATTAAGGTACATCAATTGAAATTGTAGTTTTTAAAACAATTGTATTATTGGGTAAGAATTCATTTATTAATGATGATTATGATCAAAATGAAATTTCATAATGCATTTCATGCTAAAACTGCATGCTCCCCAGGTTTTAAGAAAAAATGCATTAGCATGATTTTAAATGTATTATAAGAATTGACAAAATATTAAACAATGTGAAAAATATTTTTACGCTCTCTCTATTCTTTTAAATCATTTCATATATCTCATTCAAGTCTTTTGTTAAGATAAAAATTAATGTATTTTAAATACCACTCCGATGCTTAATGGCTAATATGATTTTCAATAATTTCATCATTTTTTTTGTTAGGATTATTAGAAATTTGAATCACAAAAATTCTCCAACAAAATTTACAAACAACATCAGCTTGAAAATCGGAATACATTAATGGTTGAACATATCATACAAAAAGATACGGTTACTTTATTTTACAAAGCTTAAGACAAATAAAAAAATTGAATTGTAGTTTTAAAAATAATTGTATTATTTGAGTCTCCAGGTTTTAAAAATGCATTAGCATGATTTTAAACGCATTATAAGAATACTCCACACAATACAATCTCAGAAAACGCGCTTGAAGAAATTTAAAACCCTAATATGCAAAAGCTCATTAGGCTCAGAAAATTAAATCTAACAAGGAAAAATAGTTTATTCTAGGGGGTACCCCAAGAACAAAAGAGCCTTCTTCAATTTCTCTCCGAAAACGAAATCACACTATTTTCTCAACCAAATCTTTTCTCATTGGTAGTACGAAAAGCCACTCTTAACCGGGTGCCTTGAGGACTTGGAGGAAAAATTCTTTCTTCTGCCTTCCTAACTATTCCCTTATTCGATTTGACAGAGAGTCAGGCTACTTAATTCGTTTTAAAACTCCTGCGCCATTTATACGAACGCATTTATTTGAGGGAAATATTTAACCGTTTATAAGAAGGGGGTCTCTAACGACTGTTCAAAAGGTTCGAAAAGCCAGCCCGTGTTTTCTGCAGAAGTGCACACTGGATGCGAAGGCAGCGGAAAGACGAATCGTTTGTTCGTCTGAGCGTGAACCTTTATTCAGATCTGCAAATGGGGTAACGGAGTTAAGATGGTACTCGAGGAAAAGATTCATTTGCTGACGACGATGAATATGTTCTGCCGAATGCCTTTTCGCCCTTTTCCAGAAGAATGTCTTTGTCGGCGATTACGCAAGAATTCTTTTCGCCTTCGCTCTCTCGGAATTAATATCTTTTGTTCTTCCGATTACTGGGGCCGACTGCGAACACATTCTGTCACGAGTTATGACAAGGAAGGGGGAATATCGTTTGTGTTCTGCTGTCATTTTGTCAGAATCTTTACACGAAAGGGGTGAATGTTGAAATCATAAATTACGGCATTTGAATATTAATGCTCTTGAAATGGTACAAAAGGCTGATGGGCTTT